TGTTTAACAAACAAAAACAAACAGCTCGGACTATGGAGAGCCCGCCGAAGCAACTCTGGGTTTGATTTTTGATTCCTGGCAGATTTGCTTTATTTATTAATTACTCAGCCTAATACGCGGTATCAGTCTTGATTAGCGCGTGTAACGCAATCTAATAGGACGGAAAAACACCGGCGCGTCCGTTCAACGATTAGCATAGAATAATAAAAGCGTGGCTTATTGTGTTTTTTTATTTGGAAGGGGGGGGTTTTGGTGTGCACGTGTCCGGGGGAGGCAGAGAGGGGACACACACACTCCGACACACACCTTCCTCCTCTGAAAGATGCACCTCTGTCTATCTTTGCCGATCTGTCGCCTGTCACTCACCTCTTCACCAGCCAGTGACTCTGCTCTGTGTGTGTGTGTCTGTGTGTGTGTGTGTGTGTGTGTGTATGTCTGCGCGCGCGCGCTCAATACAAACATCTGCCCCCATCACATCCCCCTCCTCATGAAATCCCGCCTCACGCCACTCTACCAAGGCCCTGATCCACACCTCGTTTCTCTCTGTTTTTCTTCCCAGTGAACCAGATTTTCTCACAATCTTTTGAAGTGGACCTGAGATATGGTCCTCCAAAGTTTTTTTTTTTCTTTTCTTAGTACATTGACTGCCTTCTTTACCTGACCATTCCGGAAAGATTTAGCTGTGTTTCTTTTTTCATTCGTAAAGCGACTTAACGTTGATAGATTTCGCATCAGCAGTTGTGCTCAAAGGTACATTCGCGACTTTAAAAAAACAAAAAGAAAACAGGAGGCCGGTCATTACTAGGGAAGTATGGAGTAAAATTCAGCAAAGACCTGACGCAGGGACCTGAGACGTGCATGCCGTTGGCCCAGGCTTCATCAGAAAGGCTCCCTCTGGAAGAGGGGCTATTCAGAAGCCGTTCGAAGGGAAATTAGCAGAAAAGGGCTCAGCTATGTCCAATAGCACAAGAAGTGGACTTAAAATCAGTGCCGACGGGTCTGATGGAGGGACTTAAGAGGCCTGGTGGACTTTTTCCTGAAGATCTCTGAACGAAAGAGCAGTCTGGGAGCTTTCAGGCTCTTTCGGTGAAGAAATCATCCCAATATTGACTCTGCAACTCGTCAGAATTGCACAGACTCTGTTTTTTTTGGCCCGTACGCTGGTTTTTATTCATCTTAGCAAATCCGCCACGCAAAGACACACAAAAAAACACACAAGATGACACACAAAACACGGCCTAGTCATCAAAACTAACACCCCACTTTATCTCCCAAAGTGTCGGCACTGGTGTATAATTTTTCCCACCGTGGGCTCCCAATTCAAAATCAATACCCCCCCACACGCCCCCCACCCCCGTTCTGGTTAGCGACTGAGCTCAAATGCTTAGCTCAACTCTGCCTGGTCTGAATGGGCCCAGGTGGTGGTGGTGGGGGGGGGGGGGGTCCCATTCATATCTGAAAGTGACGCCATGCTTAAAGCCCATTTAATTAACGCCATGCACTATCATTTAAGTGCTCCATGTTGGATTTAAATCATCCTTTTGGCCTGACACGTTTAAGGTATGTCGGATTAGAGGCTGGAACAAGGTGTGTCTGTGTATGGGTGGGGGGGGAGTTAGTTGCCCATAGGCAATTTTAAACATCCTGTCATTTAAAGAAAAATAAAAGGAATGGCAGTTTAATCTGGATGTGGTGGCAACTAACAGGAAACATGGCTGTGCATTTAAAAAAGAATCCAATCAAAGTCAAATATCCTCTCCTCACATAAGTCAATTGAACGTAACACGACAAACATTCTGGAATCTACTGCTACCGAAGAAGAAGAAAAAAAGAAGTAACGACCGAATAAGGTAACAACGATGATGAAGAGGAGCTGTTTAACTCCCCTAAAGGCCGCAGATTCCCGGGATGATTCCTGACTCCAGTTCCGGTTCGCTGAGAACTCTAAAAGTCCCCCCCCCCCGGTCCCGGGTTTCCCGCAGAGGCCTGCCGGCTCCCGCCGCAGCTTCCGGGCTTCCGTAGATGGAAACGGCCTTTAAACGAGGGGGCCCGAACCCACAGATATGCACGAGCCAACGCGCGTGGGTCAATGCAAGCAGGTTGAAGAATGTGGCCTAAAAGACCCCTTTTGCCTTAGAAAAAGATAAATAAAAAACATAAAAAAAGATAAATAAATCTGTAACGGTCTCCTTCATATTTGAACCCGAATTATCTCGGAGAATACAAAACAGCCCCAACCTATTTCCTACAAATCTTTGATTATTCTCTGTGATTCATCCCTACGAGGTGATGTCTAAGTCTGGACACCCTTCCGTCAATCCTGCACACCAAACGGCAAGAATGAACATTTATATAATCGTTAAACTTAATTTAATTATTTAAAAAAAGTCAAAGCCGAGAACGAGAACAAACAATCTCCTTTTAAAAAATATTTTTAAAAAGGCGGAAGGACAAATATTCGGGTTTTGGTTTGCAAAATTAACCCCCGGACGTCTGAATGGTGATTATGAGTTATGTTTCTTTTTTTAAGCCCTATTTAAGAGGAGCATTTGCATCCCGAGTGAGCGCGACACCTGGCGGTGCGCGTGAACGCACCTCAGGGCTGACGGCCAGCACAGGCAGTGAACGCAACTTAAAAAAATAAAAAATAATTAAAAAAAAAAAAGGACAGGGACGGGATTCAAGGTGTGCAGCAACAGAGACCAGTGTGAGAGGATATTTAAACAGCTTGCAACCCTTTAAAAAAAAATTAATAATAATAATTTTGATAAAATGGTTAGTTTTAAACGTGCGTAAAGTTGTTCCGAGCAGAAGCGGTGAGTGGAACGCGGTACTCGCGCAGCTCCGGTGCTTTTCATCTCGACTCCAGTGCACAAACATACAGCTTAATGCGGCCAGTGTTCCCCTCCTTTTATTGGGCTCTCCATGGCTACCGGCCGCAGGGTTCAGAAATGCAACTCCCCATCAGCGGAGGAGAGCCCGTGAGAGAAAACCCAGGAAAAAAGAAAAAGACTGGGGGTTGGAGGAAGAAAAAAAACATGGCTAAGCAACTTGTGGTCAACTTTTTTTTTCTTTTCTTTTTGTGTAGTTTTTTCTACTGAGAAAAAACAAACAGGAAATCTGCAAAAAAGTTGAGCCAGGCTTTAAGACCAGTCTCTAAATGTCTCCCGTCACCCGAAAAAGTGCCCATTTCCACCCCGTTTTCTGGAAACACTCCAAAAAAAAAGATCCAATAAAAGCAACAAAACCAAAAAAAAACCCAAACCGTGATTTTAAGAACAGATCAGCCCCATAAACTTTCCGCAAACTTCCATCGATTTATATTAAACGATTTTCTGTTTCCAGCGCGATCCCTCTGGAGGATTCAGCCATGGGGCTCTCTCTCTCTTTCTCTGTCTTTCTCTCTCTCTTTCTCCCACTCCCTCCCTCCCTCTCTCTCTCTCTCTCACCTTCTTTTCTCTGCCTGCTTAAAATGTGATTGATTGCACTTTTCTCCGGTGGACATTCACCACAAAACAGCGCAGCTTTGTCCATCTGCGCGCTCTCCGCTTCAGAGGAGGACAGGAAAGAGGAGAGAAGGGAAGAGAAAACGATGGAAAAAACGAACAAACCCGTTAAAGATGCGCATTAGTATCCAAAGGGAGAAAAAAAAAAAGGAAAAAAAAAGATCTTGCGATTCGGTTAAAAAAATTCCCAAAAGCATGAAGCGGGTGAAAAAACGGCAGACGTGAGGCTCCAAATGTCATCCGGATGGGAAAAGGGAACGGGCGAGAAAAATCCGGCTACACCAGG